GGACCTAAAACGGGACCCTAATTCAGAGAACTGCCCACACTTAGGTTCATTATCGGGGGATCTCCCCCTCGCCCCACACTTATGCTGCAACCATACGCCCCAAACCCCAGAACTTAATTGTCCCGAAAGCCCAAACTCTGTATAGACTTTATAGACCGTCCTCTATCTACTCTATAAAAGCCTCAACCCTAACCCCCCGACCCGTAACCCTAAACCCTAAACGCTATAAACCCTAAACCCTAAATCCCAAACTTTCCCATCTTTCTAGGAGCGCGCTCTCGCAGACTACGATGGTTACCACCGTGGCATAGCCGAGGCGCTGGTCTCAGAGCCTCTGCGACAAGGCTGCAGGGCTTTGGGCTGTGGTAGTAGGGTTTAGGGACAAGCGATTTGGGTGAAGGCATGAGGGATTAGGGGACTTAGACATATTTTCAAGGTGTTGGTCTCAGAAACAGCTGAAATCATATTTCTTGCTCGGGTCCCAAGTTCAGTATAGTAGTGAGATAGCAGGGTTCAGGGTGTAGGCCGGCAAAGTTTGAGGTTCAGAGTTCAGGGTTTAGGGCTTGGGGTCAAAACTACAGTAGTAGTTGACCCAGCAACAGCGAGCTTACACGACACCACCTGTAGAAAAGTGTTACAGTAGCAGCCTGAAGAGCAGCAACACTGACAACTATTACAAATCTGATAGTGTTACTGTTGAACTCGTGGTTGGAGAGGTTGCAAACCCTGCTATGTATCCTACGCTCTAAACCTCAAGCTACAAACTTGCCTACACCTAAGTACCCATCTCGAGGCCCCATCCCAGCAGCAAAAGCGCTAAGAGGCGGGCTTTATTTGTCAGAGTAGGGAAGAATGTTTGTTTCGGGGTGGTTCATTACAGCATACGGTATACGTATGTAGGCTTATCAGGGGCTGCTGTTGGGCAGACTTCTTTACCATACCCTTAAACCATTCTAACTTAGGGTTTAGGTGTCAGTGTTATCGAGCCATCTTGTCTCCCTGCTTGAGCACCGAACAATTCTCCATCTTGCCTTTCGCCACATCATGAAACAGTCTAAACTCCCTCAGCCATGCGAAGATTGCCGAGGTGCCTCTCCGGCAACCCGGCGATGGCATGTGGAAGCAGGCCGGAGGAGCAGGTGTTCTGCGGTTGAGCCGGCCTTGCACGGCTCAGGGCCTCAAGTTTGGGGTCATACTTGAGCCCTAAACCCACCGTGTTTGTGGTTTCTGTCGGAGCTGAAGGGGCCTTGGGAAGATGGGGCTGGGCGCCTAAAAGCTGGGTGCAGACTTTGAAAAGTGCTTACCACACCAGCCTGTAAAACACGGTTGTACCCGTTGTAACCCCGCATGTTTGCATTCTTGTCTTTCTGTATACACACTTAGAAGTACTATCGTCAATCATTGCTCCCAAGCCGTAGTCGATCTATTCAAGCGCATGCCCAGTCGGTTCAGTCTTTAGGCGCTTGCAGGGCCTGCAGGCCCCCTTCCCTCCTTGGGCTTAGGACTTAAAAGGCTTATAGGGTTTGGGGCCCAATTCCCCAACCTTTGAGCCGCAAGACGCTCCAGCAAGTCCTTGAGCTTTAAGCTGAACTACTAATTACTACTACCACTACTACTTTTACTTCTACTGCTACTACCACCACCACCACGACGACTACTACCACCA